TCCACATGCTTTATGACAACTCAGAACATGGTCAAATGTCATTCATAATTCTTTAGCAATCTTATGGACACTATACACTTCATATAGTGTATCTGGCAATCCATTCAAAATGTAATTCCGATATAGAAACTTAGAATGCTTTCAAGATTTAATGACAACAATGTCTATCTCATCCTCTCTATGAATAGAAGGATCATCCTATATTTGACCATATTCAGCTATATCTTGAAATTATATCCATGAATTTCACATGTTTCTCGTTGTGGCTCACAACCACTGACATTGTTGAATTTTATTCAAATTTTGAATATGAATCAACATTTCAAATCACGAGTTAGGTGAATCAGTAGGATTACCATTGTTTCATTTAAAACACTTAACTAGAATTTGTAAATATTCCAACAATAAATTGAAAGTTAATTCAATTTATTTTACCGTTTGTTTCTGTTGAACAACAAAATTTAATTAGAAATTAAAATTCTAAAACAAAATCTGTAACAATGTTGTTACCTCCAAACGATTTCTGTTATCAACAGTAAATCAAATAAATTTTGTTGAACAACAGGATTAAAATCCTGAAATAGAATTATAGGCCTGATTTTTGTTTACATAATTTTGTTCGGTACCTTATTTATCGCAGCGAATTTTAGTCAAAACTAAAATCCAACAATTGAGTAATTTCTGTTAAACGGCGAGAATTTAGTAAAAATAAAACCCAAAACAAAAATGTACAATCAATATTATTTTGTTGTATTCGTTAAATGTCAGGATTTAAAACTAAAATTCGAAACAAAATCAACTTATGTTGGACAACGGGATTAAAACCCAAAACAGAACCAATTTCTGTTAAACGACGAGAATTTAATAAATTAATTCTCGAAACATAACTAACTTCTGTTGAGCAGTGGGAATTTAATAAAACCCAAATTAGTAGTATAATCTCAATGTATAAATACACATACCTTTTCGATTTCTTGATCGAAATTCACCATTCGAGAAAAAATTACGAGCCTTATCACATTATAATTAGACTGTGTCCAACATGCCATACCTCGCTTGAAACATGACGTTTTGAATTCAACATGCTTTGTTGACCAAAGGTTGCACTTGCACCGAAGATTAAAAAAAACCGACATCAATAAAAGTTGGTGGACCTCAAACCTTCTTGTCATCGTTGACAATCAAACTTGAACTAACAATTTGTGGGTTAAGGTGTAGTGTGCACATGCCAATCATTGAAGGTTGGCACTTACACTAAACATTAGAAATGTTTCATAATTATAATTACGCCTCTTTCGTTATTCTTCACTCAATTTGGCAATTTCCAATGACATGATGATAATCAAATTGTCACAACCAAATCACGTTTGTGAAGGTCCAAGCAAGAAACAAAACGTCCTGCAAATTATTATGCTACGCAGACTAAACATTTCCAAAGAAAATATAATATTCTACGTACCTTGATACTTGTTCCAGTGATTTGGCTTGTACACTAAAGAAAACAATTCGAATGAATTAAGTCTTTAACCAATTTGGAATGAATTGTCAATTCTCAAAATTCCAAAGCAGCAAACACTTTGGAACCACATTCTTGTCTTAGACACCAAGTGCATCATTTCATGGTAAGCATCACGTGAATGTTTGTGAGTAGGACTAAATCACATAGAAGTATCCTCTATTGAAATTGCGTTTCCAAACAATTTCAGATGAATCGTAAATTTCCTTTGTTATTGAAAAGACACATAATGCTCCAAAGGTATAACCATCATTAGCAATGTCAAAACATGTTGAATACAAATATCCACGATCGACATATCCAATCATCAAAAGGAGAGAAAATTAAAAAAAATCACATCACCAAGAGCCAAGAAACAAACAACACGTTAGTTTTGCAAAGAATGCCTCACTGTTTGCATTCAAACCTGCAAATAGCCAACAATATTTGTTTTGACCCTGTTTGATACTTCATTCAAAGAATCTCGTTTCGGATTAAAAAATAAGAGGAATCTGTCTTAAGATTATTAGACAAAATTGTTAATCCGAGATAATAATAATAATAAATATTATTATATAATCGAACGAAGCAAAATAAATAAAACTTAAAGTAGAGGCAAGAAATTGGTTTACTCATATTTAGACAATGAATCGGATGAGTAGAGTATGATAAACCGAAGAAGAATTTTGTTGAGGAATTTTGTTGAGGCCTGTATGAACATTTTCCTTAAGACAGATTCGTCCTCTCCTCGGTGCTTTGAGTAACGTTGAACGTCGGTCTCCCAGGATACAACAACAAACGATCACAACAGTAAGCACAACCGTAGTGATCAGTCGAACACAATCTTGCCTTTCTCTATCACTAGAAAGAACGAATTTGGAAGGAACTTTCTAAGTGTTATCATAATTCAACTTTGTGAGTTGTGTCTCAAAGTTGTCTATGTAACTTGTGTTACGTTATTTCTTAGAATTGTGCCTCAAGTAACCTATATATAGGGAGAGGAAATTGATCGAAAGGTTAAGAACTTTCTATGAAAAGACTTAATCTTTCAATTAAAGAACTTATCCTTTTGATGAAAAGAGCTTAACCTTTTCATGAAAGGATTTTATCTTTTCATGAAGAGAATTGTTGAATAAGTATGATTGAATGGATGTAACTTTAAACCAAAAATTAAGTCCATTCATCAAGTGACATGACTTATTATTAATTAGCTAGAAATAACATCAATTCATTCAATAGTTTTTCCAACAGGATGATCTCTTTGAATCTCTTGTTTCTTTTCTTGACATAATGCCTAGGTTATCCTTTGTTTTAGGAAGCAGCTTCAAGGGATTAGAATCACCTTTGTGAAATCGTTAGTTTGTGTCAATTTTTTTATTTTATTTTTTTGAAAAAAAATATGATTTTTTATAGTTTGTTTTCAAATTTTGTAGTGGAAAAGCATTCAATAATTCTGACAGGAGACGGCGGCATGGATACAATGTTTCAATCAGACCACCTTGCCACTCCCATATGCGAGGAATTTGATACTGAAATGAACATGGCATTGGCGATAATTTGCTCTTTACTCAGGCGTGTCAATAATCAATAATTATTACCCAGGCTTAGTCTTTCAATATTCTTTGTCGTCCTCTTCCATGCTTGCTCTGACATTTTGAGATAACTTCTTTCTGATTTTCCATTTTAGCAGATATATAAATGGCCAGAATATATAACTCGCTATTTTTTTTTTTGGAAAAATGTGCATAACTCACTTTTGAATTGCATGAAAATAAGTTTTTGGGTTATTTGCTGTGTTAAAGCTGTGAAATCCAGAGTTGGAACCAGCCGAAATTCTAATTGGCGTCCGACACCATTTGATCAACAGCCCTTGCCTGTCTTAATATAATATAGACTTATGTTTCCTGATTGACTGTGACATTTGAATTTTCTTACGGATTTGCAGGCCTTTTGCAATGCATATTGTAAACTTATGGGTCCACTGATTTCAATGCCCTCGAAAGTGTGACAGAAGAAGCTATTTTGAGAATGACATATTACTGGTATGACATAGTACCGGACTGCAAATGATTGGTATATTTTTGGAGGAATTCACAATTTTGAGTGAAAATAATCAGTTGATTGTTTTTGAGGTACAATTACAGGCCACTCGCATGGGGCACCGGAGCGGTTGGGTTAGTTGTTTTGCTGGGATTGCTTCTTGCTACCAATATGGAGTTTGCAGGCTGTTTCCAAAAGGTGTGCAGGTTGATTGGGAAGCCATTCTCAACTTTGACCCCAACTCCTTTGTGGATTCTATCAAGTGTTGGTTGTATCCATCCATAAAGATTAGCACGTCGTGGAAAGATTTTCCAAATGTAACCTCCACTTTTGCAACAACGGGATCAGTTTGCGGCTCTAAGGTCATATGATGATTGAACTCTTCTTAGTTGGTGGCAAGATTTTCCTGCATGCAATGTCGATGACTGCCTACTACGGTCCGTTTGAAGGCCAGAGTTCTTTTTGTTGGAAGCCTTGGTGGGCATTTGATAAATTTATAACTCGAATAATATTATTGATACAAACAAAATATGATATAACAACCTTACCCCGTTATTAGCTTTGGCTGGTTTACAAATACCGCAAACAAAGCTTTGCTATGCTTTCTCAAGTCTCGTATTTGTTTTCACTCACTCCTATATTATCACCGTGGCTTCATGAAATTTCGAGCTCTTGCCATCCAAAATTAAGTTTGAATTCTAACACTTTGTTTCTACACTTTCTTGATATGTTGTAAACACAAAAATTACGAGCTGTATGTTTAATGTGTTGTACAGCACTATATGATGATGCAGTTAGTTCTCTTGATAAAGCAAAATTGGCTTTTTCTACATGTTATGATGATTTGCTGGGCTTATACATCTAAAATTCTCAATAATTAGGTCGACTTTTAGGAAGATATTAGTTTGTAGTCCAGTCCAAATGATAAAGTATTTTAATGGCTGGTGGGTCATTGTTTCTAGGTGGTGCTCTCCAAGATGGCGGTTATGCTGTTTTGTCAACACCAAATTTGTTTTAGATTTTTGGTTAATGTTCTCTAGCAACTTGTAATTTAGTTCATAAAATTATCAGGATCTAGATTAGTGGGTTAGGTACGATTTCTTATTCATCGAATCTGGATTTGTTAATACCAAATTTTCTTAAGTTGGATTTGTTAACAACAAAGATTTTCCTTGGATTCTTTTTAAGTTTTTCTATTATATTTTGTATTTGTGAGGCCTTTAATCTGTCACGTCAAATCCCTCTTTTGCATTATTTGGCATGCACTAGGAATAAGAATATAGAGTTGGGTTACACATGCACTCTTTCTTTTCATTTTCTATACCGATATTAATGATTGATAATGGCTAATAATTGAGGGGGTCGGGATGAGTAGATTCATAGTATTTTCTCTTCCGGTAAATAATTGAAATGCATTATCTTCCGATGATTTAAATGTTTCCCCCTCTTTAGGAAAATTTGTTGATAAAAAGAGGGATGCTATCATGTTTTTTTTTTATGGTTTGTATTTGTGTAAGCCTAACAAGAGACAGAATTCAAAGTTACAATGGTTGTAGCTTCTACTCTACCATTGTAGCTTCTTATCTACCATCGACAAATAAGAGACAGAATTCAAAGTTACAATGGTTGTAGCTTCTACTCTACCATTGTAGCTTCTTCTCTACCATCGACAAATACATGCTACTTTTTGTATAAGCTTCACAAATTGAAATATTAATCTTAACCCTTGTCTCTGTAATGAAAATTGAAGACTCAATTCCTTCCATCTCTTACTCCGTGATCGACACCACTTGATTCTCTCTCAATCCGGACGATGTCTTTTTTCCTTCTGCCCGCTTTTTCCATCTTCCTCCTCCTCCTCTTTTCAGCTTTAGGGTCTTCTACAATGGTCGGCCTATCTAAAACTCAAGCCAAAATTCAAAGTAAAAACATGAGCAAGCTATCCTTGGATAAAGCAAAAAATTTGTAACCAAAGATTCAAATAACGATCCATAATTAGAGTAACAGATGTTATATGATGATAAATACTTCATCTGAAATTATTATTTGTATAAATTATGATCTTCGCAATATCTATAATAACACAGTTATTATTATAATCGTGATAAATGTAAAACGCAAATGTAATCCTAATTTAAATCTCTGTTTCTAATAGATAGGCTTACCAGGTAAACCCTTGTCCTTAGCATCCATTAATCTCATCATCATCATTTCCTGCAGCTGGTATTTTCCTTTGGACTCCAATTCATGCACTGTTCTGTCCTTTTTCATGCAAAGTTTTGACTTTGCATTTGCAAATATCCACGTGGCATTCATCTGTTTGTTGATCATCCGTGCTGCGTAGTACGGGATCCTTGCACGTTTCGTATGCTCAGATTTCATTCGAGTGTTGATGAACGTTAAGCAGTCCATCAAGCTCTCTTTGCCCAATCCTTTCATGTCATATGCTTGTGACCTTCTCCAAAAGCTTTTACTGTGAGGACTCGCCGTACCTGATAAGCAAAGAGCTCTAGTAGTGTCACTAATGGCAGCTGCTGGGTTTTTGAGTAGCAGATGACACTGTGCTCTGTTGCTGTAAAGAACAATCCTCTCTCTCCCCATGTTTAAAGGACACAATTCTAAGGCATTTGAATATATGTCACAAGCGCTCTCGATTTTCCCAGACCAAAACTTCTGGTTGCCTTGTTTTTTCATCTCCCCAATCAACAGGCGTCTCTCTTCCACCTCTTGTTCAGACATAAGTTTATCTCTTTTAATCTTCTCAACCTTCAAATCCCACAGCTCTTCCAATGCTTTCTCAGCTTCCTTGCTCTTCAGCTTCAAGAACGCATATTTGATTTTGCAGTAATCCTGCAACAAAGCTTGAGTTATTGCTTCTCCAAGCCCTGTAAGTTCAGCTAGATCAGCAAGAGACAATGCTGCAGCCTCAATAACTTGATATCTTGTCTGGGGGTCTTTGAGAAGCAACAAAAGACAATCGATGGCCAAGTTTTGCCAATCATCTGAAGATCTTGAAACATTGCAAAGACTATCGAGCACTCGTCTTGACTTTACTACATTTTCCCTTCCTGTTTTGTATGAAGAAAGGGTTTTGAGTAATCCAATGCCTGCAGGAGATGTGAGATTGAGTAATCCACCCCACATTCCACACAAATTGTTTAGAAACTCTTTGTTGCAGATGAGATTGAGTGATCTTTCTTTGCATGCAAAGCAATTCAATAGATGAAGTGACCAACACTGAAGCTGACTGGCCCATTCCTCTGCTTTTTTTAACTGCAACTGCAACCCTCCATGTCCCCTTGTGAGCAAATCACAATGATATTTGGGTCTCTTTCTAGCTTTTATTCCAACGAACTCCTCGTAAACAACTTCAAGGCAAGTGCTAGCTATCTCCATACCACAGCTTATGACCTCCACTTCATGTACACCAACAGCTTCAAATGTGTTTTCATGGCTTGCTAAATGACCCAATGCTCGAACTGCAACTCTTTGCTCAACCCAACTCATCTTGCCTCTCAAAAGCTCCATTAATGGCGGAATCACACCCGAGTGAACGGCTTTTTCTGCAAATTTGGGGTTGTCCATCGTATATGAACCGATGATATGAGCGGCATAGTAGGGGATATAGATGTTCTGACCTCTAAGAAGCCAGTTTTGATCAGTGATGCCTCTATGGATAAGCTTGGCCATGCATTCAAATATACCAAGGGAAGGAAACTCTGGATCATCGGGTCGAGTCATGGAAATGTTCCACAGCCCACTTAAGACCAACACGTGCTCTTCATCATCTCTGAGAGGCATCTCTTTGAAGCATTGCTCGAGCTTTGCTCTTCTTTGAGACGGGTCCGGCTCACGCATGGTGCAGAAGAAACAATTCGGATTGCTGCATGGTGGCTCCGAGTGCATCTTCTTTAGCTGCGCTGAATTCATGGAGTCCAAATGAGTTTCAGGGTGCAACAGATGAAAAAAAACGGCTGCTAATATATGGTACTAGACTACTAGTAGAGAGGCAGAGAACCTACAAAGAGAGGTTAACCAAAATTTTATCTATGCAATAGTACTAATTTGTCTGAATCTTCAAGCTTAAAACAGCAAGTTTCATTGATTAAGAATCGTATATTCATTAAATTACATGCGTGGTTTGAGTTTTTATACCAGAAGATAGAAGAAATGATGTTTAAAGGGAAAATTAAAGAGTAAAATACTCGGAGTTGTGGTAGGAACAAAAGTTTATATATTTTCACCTAAATTGGTGGTTGAAAATGATTCAATCAACAAAATAGACAATGGACCACACACTCCAAGCGACCATCTGGACAATGCAAACACTCATCTTTGAAATGAAGCATTCCAATTTCCAATTGTTTAAATTGCTTTATTAAAAAGGTTCAGTTCCTCAAGCATACAAGCTGAGTAATGATTTATGCGTTTCATTCTCTTCAGAACAAAGTAATTAAATGTACTTTTCTCTTTAGTTTAGTTCAACTCAAACAAATCAAAAGAAGCGACAAAATTCAGCGAGTACATCTGGGTGTGGTCTCAAGAAAATGCGGCTTCCATGTTACTATAATATACTAGAGGTGGCAAACGGATTATTTCGTTCGGGTTATTTCTGTTTAAATTTAATTTGGATTAAGTTTGGGTCGGATTGTGTCATTTCGGTTTTTGATTTTATTCAAGTTTATAGTAAGTTGGGTTTGAGTCCAGGCCGGATTGGATTATTTCGGGTTTCGGTTTTATTCGGGTCGGTTCATGTATCCGATCTTGTCATATCGGATAAATTGATTTCTGGTTGGATCAAATTGGATTAGTTGATTTTTAGGTCAGATCAATTATTTTCGGTTTGGTCAACTTTGGATCTTCTCAAATACATAAAGAATTATTGATATATTTTTGTAAAAAAGATCGGTTTGGGGCAATTTAAATTCGAGTTAATTTCGGTTCGGATTATTTTTAGTTCGAGTTACTTTCGATTTTGTTAAATTTAGATCAGTTTCAATTCGGTTCGGTTTAGCTTTCGATTCAGGTTACTTTCGATTTGGTTAAAATTCGGATCGATTTCGGTTTGATTCGATTTTACATGTTTCGGGTCAAATTTAAGTGTTGACGAAAACGGGTAAAGAAAACAAAAGAACACGAGAATTTTACGAGGTTCGGCAATGTGCTTACGTCCTCGGTGCCTAGGCGGCGCTAGAAGTTTTATTCAATGATATTTTAGGTCTAGGTTACATCTCTATTTATAATAGAAAACCCTGGTACATAATTACAAAATCAACCCTGTACCGTACCGCGGGGGCTGCGCCCCCACACCCCCAACCCACATAATTCGTAACCCCACAACGAGACTTTTTATGAGCCATACATAACAAATCTCCACCATGGCGAATATCCTGCCCCTTGGAAACTTCAATGTGGGTTGGGTTACCTTGCTTCTTTAATAACTCGAAACATTCAACAAGTCCAAGCAATGCTTGAACTTGTCTGTCGTAACTGGCTTGGTGAACATATCAGCGGCATTCTCATCAGTATGTACCTTCTGAAACAAAACATCTCCAGATGCAACCAACTCTCTGATCTTGTGGAACCTTACATCAATATGTTTAGTTCTAGCACGATACACCTGATTCTTAGCCAAGTGAATAGCACTTTGATTATCACAAAGCAACTGAACTCCACCTTGTTGAACACCCAACTCCTTCACTAAACCAGTAAGCCATAAAGCTTCTTTTGCAGCTTCAGCCGCTGCCATGTACTCAGCTTCAGTTGTAGATAGAGCCACAACAGATTGAACAGTAGACTTCCAACAAATAGGCCCTCCACCAAGAGTAAAGACATACCCTGTCGTAGATCTTCTATTATCCAAGTCACCTGCATAGTCTGAATCCACATATCCTACAACCAAAGGATTATCCCGCTGACTCCCAAAACAATTCCATGTCCCACAGTACCCTTTAAGTACCGAAAGATCCACTTGACTGCTTCCCAATGTTGCTTACCAGGTTAGACATGTACTTACAAACTTGACTAACAGCATGAGCTAAATCAGGACGAGTACATACCATCGCATACATCAAGCAGCCAACAGCATTAGAATACGGAACCTTTACCATATCTTCAGCTTCCTTATCTGTCTTAGGGCACTGTTCTGATGAGAGCTTAAAGTGATTCGCCAATGGAGTGCTAACTGGTTTCGCGCTGCTCATCGCAAACCTTTCTAGCATTTTCTCAACATAACCCCGTTGAGATAGCCGCAGTTTCCTTGAGTCTTTGTTCCTGCAAATTTCCATTCCAAGAATTTTCTTTGCAGCACCTAAATCTTTCATATCAAATTCCTGACTCAATAAAGTTTTCAAACCGATAACATCATCCATGTTCTTCGCAGCAATCAACATATCATCAACATACAGTAATAGAAAATAAAAGAACCATCATCAAGGCTCTTAACATAGACACAACAATCATACTCACATCGGTTGTAGCCAATTTTGATCATATAGGAGTCAAACCGTTTATACCACTGTCTCGGAGACTGTTTTAACCCGTACAAAGATTTCTTCAATCTGCAAACTAAATGCTCGTTTCCAGGTTGAGTGAAACCTTCAGGTTGCCGCATGTAGATCTGCTCCTCTAAATCACCATGCAAAAAAGCAGTTTTAACATCCATCTGCTCTAAATGCAAATCCCAACTAGCCACCAATGCAAGTACTGCTCGGATTGAAGTATGCCTGACCACAGGAGAAAAGATTCCATCATAATCAACTCCTTTCTGCTGTGAAAAACCCTTCGCTACCAAACGAGCCTTGAACTTCTCCCCCTCTTTTTCTGTTACTGCTGGTTTCTTCTTATACACCCATTTACAACCAATCGGCTTCTTACCCTCAGGAAGGGGAACTAACTCCCATGTGCGATTGTGATTCAAAGACTCCATCTCCTCAACCATGGCTGCCATCCACTTGTCGTTTTCCTGACTAGTAACGGCATCATGAAAAGTAATCGGATCATCACTGCTAACAATAAGTGCAAAAGATACCAAGTCTTCAAAACCCAATCTATTCGGAGGCTTTATATTCGTCCGTCTCACCCTGTCTCAGGCGAGACTATAATCCTGCAAATCATCCGTAGTGGAACCACCAGAATTCGGTTGAGAAGTTTCTGGTTTCTCAACTGGAAACTGCTCGAAATCCACCACTGTCGTGTCTTGCTTCTGCTGCAACATGGACTGTTCATCAAAAACGACATCTCTACTAATCACAACTTTCTTCGCAACTGGATCCCAGAACTTGAATCCTTTGACACCTTTCTTGTAACCCAGAAAAATGCACTCCTTCGATTTTGCATCAAGTTTGGATCTCTCATCAGCAGGTACATGTACATAAGCAGGACAACCAAAAATCCGTAAGTTATCAAAACTAACATCATGACCAGTCCATACCTCTTCTGCAACTTTCCCAGCCAGCGATGCCCTTGGCGATCTGTTGATAAGGTAACACGCCATGTTAACAGCCTCAGCCCAGAAGTGTTTGGTAAGCCCCGCATTCAACCGCAAACATCTGGCTCTTTCATTCAACGACTTGTTCATTCGTTCCGCAACACCATTCTGTTGTGGTGTCTTGCGCACTGTAAAATGCCTCTGAATCCCATGCTCCTTACAGAATTGTAGGAACTGTGAATCTGTGTACTCCGTACCATTATCAGACCGCAAACACTTGATTTTTCGTCCTGTTTGGTTTTCTACCTCAGCTTTCCACAGCTTGAACTTCTCAAAAACTTCAGATTTCTGTTTCAAAAAATACACCCAAACTTTCCGTGAAAAATCATCAATAAAGTAACATAGTACCTAGATCCACCCAAAGACGATGTCGTGGAAGGCCCCATACATCAGAATGCACATAATCAAGAATCCCTTGAGTTGTGTGCTTCGCAGTCTTGAAACGGACTTTAGTCTGTTTACCAAGAACACAATACTTACAAAAATCGAGCTTACAGCTTTTGACACCATGCAACAAGTTTCTCTTGTGTAATTCTGCCATACCACGTTCACTAAGATGAGCAAGGCGCATATGCCACAATTTTGTTGTATCATCACAGGACTCAACAGAGTGAACTCCACCTGCAACGGTACTCCCTAACAATCTGTAGATATTCCCTGCAGTCATCTTGCCTTTCATCACAGTCAATGCTCCTTTAACAATCCGAATGGTTTCCCTATCCTCGTCAGCCTTAGGGATAAAACCATTCTTGTGCAAAGTGCCCAAGGAAATCAAATTCTTCTTCAAGTCTGGGATATGTCGAACACCACTCAACGTCCGAACAGAGCCATCGTGCATCTTAATTCTGACATCACCAATACCAACAATATTGCAACATCGATCATCACCCAAATAAACCGAACCAGAATTAACCGGCCTGTATGTCGAAAACCATTCCCTATTTGGCGTGATGTGATAAGAACATCCAGAATCAAGAATCCAAGCATCCGTCAATTGTGTCGTTGAAATAGAAAGCATATCACCCTCACTACAATCAGAATTATCATCCTCGACCACGTTCACAGACTTGGATGAGCCATCACGCTTCTCATCAGTCTGCTTTTTCAACTTCGGACAGTCTCGCTTCATATGTCCCGCCTCCTTGCACTTGTAACAGTGAATCGTCTTCTTATCCCTGGATTTGGATCTGGAATTCCGCTTCCCGGACCCTGCCTTCTCTGGCTTCCGTCCACGATCTCGATTACCCTTGACATATAAGCTATCGGCTTGAGAGCTTTCCCCTGCATTCTGCTTCCGCTGGTTGTGAGCCAACAAGGCTGCAGTAATCTCCTCAACGTTGATAGTCTCTTTCCCATATGTAAGAGTAGTCACCATGTGTTCGTAAGAGGAAGGCAACGAACACAACAGAATCATCGCTCTGTCTTCATCCTCAATTTTCACATCAAGCCGAGCCAGATCAGAAACGATTTGATTGAAGACATTCACGTGTTGCGCCAAATCGTGATCGTCCTGCATCTTCAGCCCATACAGCCGCTGCTTCAGATACAGTTTTGTCGTTAAGGATTTGGACATAAACTGACTTTCTAACTTCCTCCAAATTTCGTCTGGAGACGATAGATGCATGACGTGATACATGA